TTGAACCCCCACAGGACCTCATGCATGCTAGGCAAGAGCTGTACCACTAAGATACCTCTCCAACCCAGTTGACCTCTTTTGAGCCTATGGTTAGACCCCAGAGAGGGTCAAAGTGGAGGCAGACCTCTTGCTGGTTAAACAGCTCAACTGACCACAAGGCCTCTTTCTCTGTTTTTCCATTCCCTAAGAACGGAACCCAGGGTCTCCCACATGCTAGGCAAGAGCTGTGCCGGTGAGCTCTGTCCCCAGCCCTCAGGGCTTATCTTCTGGGTGGAGAGGAGAACTGAGCACCTGGGGAGACTGATGAAACATTCCAAACTGTGCAAGACTCCTGATTACTTGAGTATTAAAATGAATGTGTTATAAAATGGCTTCAGAAACCAGACCAAAGCACTAGATGTCAGGAAGATGGGCAGCTCAGTACCAATAAGGGAAGGCCCAATCGTCAGAGAGACAGACAGCATTCTTTAAACCTGTGATCTTTTTTGTTTCCTGCATTTTAGGAGGAAATTGTCACAGTTCCCTTTAAAGTTAAAGTAATTATCTATAATTATCCTTTTTATCCTTTCCTAGGAGTTTGCAAGGTTCAGAATCCCTTTAGTATGTCTAGTTTCTATAATGTAAGGCTGTAAGATTCTGAAATGTCTAAAACATGCCCTTTGTTTTGTTTTTGTTTTCTTGAGACAGGGTTTCACTCTGTAGTTCAGGTTGTGTTCAACTCACTATGTAGCCCCAGGCTGACCTCGAATTTGAAGTGTTCCTGCCTCAGCCTCCTGAGTGCTGGGTTTACAGGTGTATGCTACCACGCCTGGCTAAAACGTGCCTTTTTATCCCACATAGAAATATATTTATGGATGGACTCTTAAACCTTCAAAATCCTTAAAGTTTAATGTTATCATTTGTTTAAAATCAAGTGTTACAGTGAGCCGGAGTTCCTTGGATGTAAATGGGAATGAATAAATCCATCTGCAATTTGGGTGGAGGAAAAAGGAGTGTTTGGGAGTCTGGAAGAGGAGGGAGCAGGTGGGGAGATGGAAAGAGGACAAGTGAGAATGGGAGGTGAATGTCCTTCCCTCTGACACCCCTATACTTAGCCAAACTGGGTTTCACGGTCTCTGCCAAAGATTCCAGACTTTTTCCCAGAGGGCAGAGTCTGTGACAGTGTGACTCACTAGAAACAGAGCTCAGCACAACACCACGTGCAGATAAGTGCTTAATACAAGCTTTTTTGGGAAGATGATATTTTCAAGAGGACAAAGCCTTGTGACATGGCTCAAGGAGGAGCCCTAAGAGGGCAGAGTCTGCAGGAAGTCAGGGTGGAGTGTGGAAGCAGGGAGAGGATGAACCTGCCTCTTGTCAGCTGCTACAGCCCCGGGGCAGAAGACCAGCAGGTCTGTGGAAAGACAGCAGAGCACGGCAGCTGGCTCATGATCTGGATAGGAGACTTTTGTCCCATGCTCTGGCTGGCCTGGAGTTTTCCAAGGAACAAGTGCCAAAACCATGCTCGGAGGTTACTGCCAAGGGGTTCCCCCACTGGGAGAGAGAGAAGAGTCTAACACGACAGGCCGAGACAGCCCTAGACCACAGCCAGCAATAGCAGGTTGTGGGTTTATAAAACACCAGCCCTGGCAGGAGAGGGGAGGAGGGGCCTCAGCCAGCTCTTGTTCTCAGTCCCAGAGCAGGGTGTGTTCTCTCCTGAGCTGCTCTCTGTGTCCCAGGGTGGCACATATGACAACTCAGGCTACGGCTTACCTGATTTTCTGTAGTTGAAGTTATAGTTATTCATCAGAGCCATCCCTAGGGGCCTGAAACCCCATTTGGCTTCTCCAGTCATTGTGTCTCCCACCCCACATCATCACAACATGTAGAATCCAGTGTTTCTGGTAAACATGAACTCAAGAAAAGCCTCCAATGAGTAGGCAGTCATAACAATAACAACTTCTATTGATTGAATAAACAAGAAGCCCCGGCTAGGCACTTTACAAGCATTGTCTTATTTGATACAGAACATTTATGAAATTAGAATTATTGTTATTGTTCCCACTTTATAGATAAGCAAACTGAGGGTGATAGAGATGAAACAATTTGCCCATTCCCACATGGAGCTGAGCTTCAGTCTTGGACTCTTGAGCGCAAGCACTTAACCATCTCTTTCTGCTGCCTTCCCTGTGACAGGACCAGGGTTTCATTCTAGATTTTGAGGCTGTGCTTTTCACCACTGTGCTCTACTCTAAGGGACAATTATCTAGTCCCCTACATTGAGAGAGATGTGCACAGTAGGAGCTAGGATGCCAGGCAGCCAATCTAGTCTCTTCTAGGTCCGGGTCCCAGGAGCCTTGAAGTTGTCTCCTTCAGGGCTAGGGTTGTACCTCAGTGCTACAGCACTTGCCTAGCGTGCCCAAGGCCCTGGGTTCTATCTGCAGTACCACCAAAATGAAGTCTCCTTCACTTGTACCCAGGACACTGAGCTGAGTACCTGGGTTTTACTTTTTGCATCTAGGCTATTTCACCGTAGGTGTGAGAATCAGAATTTCAGAGAAAAAGAGACCATAGAGATTCTCTAATCTGATGTTCTCAGACAGGAAACTGAGGCTCAGAGAGAGAAAGTGACTTGCTCAAGGTCACATAGGACCAGGCCTACAACTCAGGTTTCCTTAATTTCTTTTCTGGTGCTTTGTCCATGTATCACACTGCCAGATGTAAAGGAGTACATAAGGGGTTAGACGATCTGGCTCAGTGGTAGGACACTTGCCCAGCATGCACAAGGCCCTGGGTCCAATCCTTAGCACCACAAAAAAGAGCACATAAATCCCCACTAGTCAACCAACCCACAAGTTTACCCAGGACAGCAACACGATGGGACATTATGTGGGAAAGCTAATAGTTTTTTTCTGACATCAGCCTAGGAATGGTGGTGGCATCCCTCAACCCTCAAAGGAAGGGTAGAGCTTCCCTTAATGACCATTATGTGCCTGTTACCTCAGGGTTTAACTAAAACATGTTGAGTCTATTTCAGTCTAAAAATATTAGAAGACAAATGGGGGCGTGGAGAAGTCATGTATAAAGCAAATTTTCATGGAAGCAGCCTTCCAGTGTAGCTTGGTTTCTCCCACAGGCTGGGCACCTCCTCTGCCCCGGCCCTTGGGTCCAAGCAAACTGCGGGTCAGCTGTAACTGTGGCAGGTGCAGCCCAGGACTGTGGAATTCTCTTCCCTTGCTGATCCCTGGGAAAAACCACCTTCCTGTGTTACATTACCAAGTGGATGGGTGCTGAGCTCAATGTTCCTCAGAAGCTGCCTGCAGTCAGGATGACATCATGTCTTCCTGAGGGCTTCTGAGCACCCATTTCTGCCAGTTAGCTTAATGGTTAATTATCCATCAGTGTGTGTGTATCTGTTTCTCTGGCTGCCTCTCTTTCTGTCTGTTTTTCCTCTGTGTCTGTCTCTGCCCTTCTTCCCATTCTATGTCAGCTTACAAGCAGATGGGGCAGCCCAGCTAGTTGAAAAAAGATTTCTTTTAAACTTTTACCGTCATCCACTGGGGCACCCCCCAAAGGTTACAGATGTATTTGTCTCCTTTTTCGGGCACTTCTACCCCCGCCCCACTGGCCTCTAACAAAAGGACATTCATGCCTCATCTATAGGAAAGATGCCAGATATGTTTCCTGAAGAAAAGCAATTCTCATGTCAGCTAAGAGCACGTGCAGAGGCTGGGGGCTTGCTGAAGCGCACTCATGCAGAGATAGCCCTGGGAAGATGGCTCCACTTAGCTTTGGAAGCTCCTCACATT